TAGTTAACAATAATATACAAATAAATCACATGTTGAAATTTTAAATAATAGTTAATATATTTCAATTTCAATACTTCAATTTCAATATCTAGCCATTAACAAAATTATTTAATGTATCTGGTCATTATCGCATAAATGGTAAATTATATTAATCTAAAAAATAATTTATTTTCCATTTTATATATAAGGTGAAATAAAGATGAAGTCAATTACTTAACATGTTACACTTTTCCATAAATATTTTAGGTTGAAAAGTCAATATCTGTGAAAAATTAATATTCTTAAAATTTAAATATGTTTCATGTCTACTTTGACAATAAAATAATCAATATGAATCACGAAAAATAAATTTAAAGTTTACTATAATAGATAACAATGAAATCATTGTGGATGTTAATAAAATTATCCAAGGAAAAAATCTTGGGTAAAATACTTTTTCCCATCCGAACTATTGCGGTTTTGGCGCATCACCATATAAACTATTTATTTTACAAACCACCATATGAACTATACGGGTTTGTCAATACGCCCCCTAAACCGAATATAAAAGTGGTTTAGGGGGCACATTGACAAACTCGTGATAGTTCACATAGTGGTTTGTAAAAGTATTTAAAGGGCACATATGGTGACCAAACAACTTTTTCAGTCAAAACCACTTTTATATCTGGTTTAGCGGGCACATTGACAAACTTGTATAGTTCATATGTTGGTTTGTAAAAAAAAAAAATTATATGGTGATGCGCCAAAACCGTGATAGTTCGGATGGGAAAAAGTATTTTACCCAAGAATCTTTTTGATCATATTTGATTTGATCCGATTTGAAATTGTGTATATAAAAGCATTTAATGCTTATATTTCAAAAGTTTCCAAATAAAGTATGCATTTAATGTTCAAAGATTTTTTTGCTACTATTTTTACTTTAGTAAATAGTTATTCTCTTTTTATATAGATATAGATATAAATTCGGAGATATTCATAGGGTTTTATCATAAACTTTTTAAAACCTCCACCATGTACTTTTTAAATTTATTCACGCTTTTATATACATATATTATAACTATTACATTTGCTTGAAATGTTCGTGAACTTTGCGTAATAACTATTATCAATAAAGGCAAGTTAACTCTAAAATATATAATAAACTGAAATGAGATCTGAAATAAATACCAAGTAGAAAAAAAAAAAAACAAATGAAGTTTGTAGCATTACATTTGTGTAACTAATAGATGAACAAATTTATCTACTCAATTTAAAATTGTGAATTAATCCTAGAACTGTAATTCGAAGTAAGTTTTTCGCGAACACAACTCGGTTCTTCTTTTGAAAGCTCAACCTTGCTAATTATTTTTCTTAAATCAATCGAACTTAAAAACTAATCGAACTTATTTATTAAACAAAAAAAAGTGAATTTGTTCACGAATAATTTTACAATATATATATAAAGAGGGACAAAGAATTTAATGGAAAAAAAAAATTGTTTCCCGCTCTTTTATTGGGGTTAATTATTACTATTACATGTTATATTATATACTTTTTAACTATTATATCATATAATTTATATATATAATTTTCGAATGGGTTACGCCTAAGTGGCAGATTCTCACGCCTCAGAATCTTATGTGGCAAAAAGTCATGCTTAACACATGCATGGATATAAATTAATATTTAAAATTAGGCTTAGATTTCATTTAATGTCTATATTATTCATATTAAATCCTTCCTTTATTCTACATTTAGTTACTATAAACTATTTTACGTTTCATTGTCCTACAATACAATATATTACATTCTTTCCTTATTAAATTCATATATCAATTATTATGTTCTTCTTCTTATTTTTTAAATTTTATAACTTTTTTTATTTGTATTTCATTTTTTAATATATGATATATCATTGATTATTTTTTGCGATATTCGACTTGAAATCCATGTTATATTTATAAAATACAAAATAGTGATAACTATTCCTTAAATAAAACTCAAATTTATTTATCCAATTGATTTACAATATATCAAAAAAAGCTATAACTTAATCTTATGAAGTAATAGAAATTTATTTGAATTAAGATAACATAAATAGTAATTTTATTTAAAAAATATGTAAACTAATTATGAACATCAAATTAATATAAACAAAAATTCTAAAAGTTTATGTCTGAACTTAAATAAATACTACATAGAGAATGAAACACTACAATGATCTTGAAAAAAAAAAAAACCAAAATAAACATTATAATTAGAATAATAATGATAATTATTATTTTCATAAATTTTAATATCATACACGTTATATTATAAATTATTGAATATTATAAAGTTGAGCTATTTTAAAAAAATATTAGATGAGGGAGGAAAACTGTATAAAATTATTTATAGTTTTTTATTTCACAATAAGAATTTCAATTTTTTTCACTTTTTGTTTGGCAATTTGTTTTTTATAAAATTTTCGTATAGTTCACGGGCGTTGTATTAGTAGTTATTATTAAAACTAACTAATTATATTTTAAACTAAATGGTATATGAAAGTTACACAAGCATACGAAGTTATACTGTGAAACTTTTTCTTCATTTTATTAAATCTAAATTCAAGATTTTTTTTCTATCAATAAGCGCTTGTTTTTTAAGTAAACTAATTGATTATATTAGTATAGGCAAATCACTTAAACTCGCATTATTATTATAATAATAACTTTAATATTTTCTGTTAATTAATTGGTTTTAATCTAAATTATGAAAATTAGGTTATTCATTCATTATCTAATCAATACAGTGATTCATACAAAGTTGACAATTCTACAGTGTTTAAATTTAGAATATAATATTATTATATAACTTAAAATGTTAATATTACATGCATAAATATAACTTATAATACTTTATTGACGTTTGTGCATGGGTGCATTATCGAATACTAGTTACTAGTACAACGCCTGTGTATTACACGGGTGCTTGCTAATTTTTTTTCTTAAAATCTAAAATTAATGAGGAAAAATAGTTGAAAATTTAAATACCTTATATAAAAATATATATATTATTATATATTTAGTATGACACTTTTTATTTGTGCAACTTATGATAATTTTTTTAACTTACAACATATAACTACATTAAACATAAATATATCAATTGAGAAATACTTTTATTTTTCTAATGAATTTTAATAAATATTATTTATTATTATTACAAAAATAAATATAATTTATTTATTTCATATATACAATATGGATGTCAAATCGAAGATCATCGAAAGATGATTAATTATATATGTAAAACCGATAAGAAATACAAAAGTTATCAACTTTTAAAATACATTTATAATTCAATAGCTTATTGAAGGAAACAAATCAAAATTCAGGGATATATTAGTCACTTAGTGCCTCACTATGTAAAATTACAAAAAAAATAAAAGGTTATATTAGTAAAAATGATATTAAAATACCTAAGTTAGCTAAATAATATTTACGGAATACCCGAACCTAGATTATTAATTATTAATATATCAATATTATTTATCCAAACCTAATTACGAAGCATGATTTTTCGCCAAATAAGATTCCGAAGCACCAGAAGCAGCCACGTAGGCTCAGCGCATTCTGGAATTATATAAAGGGAGGATTGTGAATACATAATGGTGTCAATCTTATTTGCAAAAAACATTTTCTTTTAGCAAATACCTCGTTTGGAGTTTATATTTATGAAACAACCCTATCCGATCCGAGCTTTCATGATATTTCAATTAGTGTATGTTCGTTTATTAAACTAGCACAAGCTCAAATATGAGTTACTCGTCTCGGCTGGAATGACACTCGTGATCAACACATTCATGATTTATTTATGTAATTACTGCTGAGATATATATATAATTTAATTTTTTATTTTTTTTTTTGCATCATGCTGCAATATTAGAAAAAAATAATTATTAGGCTTTATTTTTGCAAACATTGTTAAAGATAGTATTTGTATCTTTTAAAGTTATACTGTCAACATATAAATTAGGCAAATAAAATAAAATTTTAATATATTCTTGGCAGATACAAACAATACAAATATTTGACCTTCTCAAAAAAATCACAAGCAAACAAATTAGACAATTAAAGTAAACACAGATAAAATAACCATAATAAATAAATAAAAGAAAAAATCACAAATTTGATGAGATATTATTTATCTACTAAGACTTTGTATTTGTAATTTTTTTTAAAAGTGTCTCCCAAAGTCTTATAATTTAAAATTCCTCATAATGTCTTCCTATTTTGAATATCGGATAACATCTGGGGAATGTTAGAAGGTTTTAATTGAATATGTTAAAATTTTTACATATTTATAAAAAATCTTTAAAAGTCTCGAAAAGTTTAAAATTGGAAACACCAGAATTATAAGAATCTTTTAGAGCTCCAATTGCATAGTCCCCTAAACTACATGACCAACAAAATAGTGGATGGAAGCATATAAACAAACAAATTAATTGGTTTGCAAAATGATGATTGGGGTTACCTTATCTCCTACTTTGCACTGGTCAAGAATTCTGTACAAGTCACTACCATTTGAAACCTTCTTCCCGTTAACTGATGTAATTATATCCCCGAGTACAAGTCTTCCATAGGCATCACGTTTGGTGGGTTGAAGACCCTGTGGGACAAACAGATCATCACTGCTAATTTCAGTTAAACTAGTTTTCTGACTTCAAGTTAAATGCTTGAATCAAAATGAAATTTCACATCGAATTTAAAAGACTTACTGCTTTGCCAGCTGGCCCATTCAAAGGAGCATCCAATATAAGGACCCCACTGACTCCTAGTTGCTCGACTGACTGATCAGGAGCAAATTTAATCCCTAAAATAGGACGGGTAACTTTCCCGAACTTCACCAATTGATCAACGATCCCACTTACCTGAACACCAAAGCAAAACATGAAAACGAAAAAAACAATTGTGCTATGTATATTATACAAATATAGATGCTCGGTTATAAAATTTTTATTGCATTCAGCAACTTGACTTTCAAATGTACATATTCTGCCCTTCTATTCATGGCACTTAACCCTATGAACATTCATTACAAACTCATGATAGGTCCAAGGACCAAGTCTCCTAAGGGTCTTAAGTGCAATATATCCAAAATTAGGAATGAGAGAAATTATAATTAGCAGGAAAAGGGCTGAACTGACAATTACATGGAGGACAAAATGCAATTATCAACAAAATATTTTGGAGTAACTCACAGTGTCAACTGGAATGGAAAAACCGACACCAGACGAAGCACCAGAAGGAGAGTATATAGCTGTGTTTATCCCGATAAGGTTTCCGGAACTATCAAGAAGTGGGCCCCCACTGTTGCCTGGGTTGATTGCAGCATCGGTCTGAATGACATCCTGAATCGGACGGCCAGTTGCAGCTGAACTTATTTCCCTCCGAAGACCACTAAAAAAAGGAAAGAATGAAAGATAACTTGAGTCTGTAAAGCATATCATCATGGTACGATAATACTAGTAATATAACACTGGTGAAATTTCTTAACTATTGATCACATTACACTTATCCAGTTACAAACCTAATGAAAGAAAAGATTTTCTCTTCTACTGCATGGAAACAACTATTTCACAATAGTGCTCAATAAACCTCAATTATTGTCGTTTTATCTAACAATGAAAAGCAAAAAACAAAAGAAGTGAGTGTGGGCTTTTTTTTTCCTCACTTTTGTGTCAACTAGTCTAAGGTATTAAATCTCCAGAGAAGATGTCACACAAGTAGTGAAGCCCATACAAGAGTCATGATACACATGACATCAATTTGTATAGTTATGAAATGTATAATGTTTCATTAATACCTTATGACACCTGTAGTAAGTGTGTGGTCAAGTCCAAACTGCATAAATTAAACAAATTTGATCAAATGAGATAATTATATCGTCCAATTGAATGACGCTTGTTCATTTGATGAACATAGAATAGAGACCATACCAATAATATGCTATTTCCAGATAATGCAATCAAAGTTGCCTGAGACATGCAGTTAAAATTGACAACAGGTAGGAAGGTACAGGCTTTACATGGACAAGCTTTGTCTAGTTATTGGTTAGTTGTCAACAGAATTACAAATTAATGTTGAGAAATAAACGAATTCCACAGCAAAAATGAACCAGCTGAATTAGAATTTATTTGAGCACTGAAGAGAGGACTTGGTTTAGACTCAAGCAACTGCAGACAAACATAATATCCAGACTTAGTTGTGGGATATGGTGGGTGCCTGAGAGCATACTCCATAGTATTTAATCAATTAAAAAAAGCTAAAGAAAACAAACCATTAATTACAGGGAATAGGAAAATTATGAAATTCTTCAACATTGGTGAAATCCTTCAGCTCTTACATTAACAAAATCCCTAGCGAAATAAAAAAGAGGTAATGAGAAAGAAAATGTATTTGACATAAGAAAGTAAAAGGGGCCTCTGGGGCCTCATTTCTCTCACCGGATTTCCTATTGCATACACTTTTTGACCAACAAGCAAGTCAGCAGATATGCCAATTGGTATTGGTCTTAGCTTGTCTTTTGGCGCATCAATACTTAGTACAGCAACATCTTTATCCTGATCAAATCCAACAACTTTTGCATCATATGTACTCTGGTCTGCGAGGGTTACCCTGGACAGCATTCCACTCTTCAGCAAATAACTCAAATATTTATCCCAGAATCCAGTGGGTGATCATAAATGAACACAATTTTCAGATCAAAACAACCATGTTACATAAGGTATATTAAGTATGTTAACAATCTTCCCACTTGGGTGTTGCATCATGAGGGTGATTGTTGCGTTTTTTAGGTCATGAATAGGTTACTAGGATTGTTGCCTTTTTGTGAGTATGAATGTCAACTTTTGCACAATCATGCACATTGATAATACTAGTATACGGCTTTGTCACAGTGAAGTCGACCACAAATTGGGAATGATAGGAGAAAATTTGGGAGAATTCTGCTCTAAGCGAACAGGGAAAATGATCTTCAATGAGGAGAAAAGTTTTTGTGAATGGATTTACAGACAGCCTCTTTTTCTCTGCCCTAGGAGTGAAAAACTCACTCCAGTCATTTTAGAAGATCTTCATAAAAATGAAACAATCATTACATATCCTAGTGTCTAAAAAAACGGTAACACTACAAACATACCAAAAACTTGCATCTGCTCTAATATATCAATGCAAGGAAAGGAACAACATCAATATTACTTGAGATCAGATGCGCCACGAATCACATGATAGTTCGTAACAATATGGCCTTGCACATCCCAAACAAATCCAGATCCCGATCCTTGTGGCACCTCCAACACATCCAAAGTAAACGCATCTTGCCTAAAACAAAACAACCATATGAATTCTAGTATCAATAAGAGAGATTAAAACTGGAAAATTTCCGCCAACAGATGGTTACATGCTAGTGATCATTAACAAAAACCATTACCTTTTAACAGATGCTAATTCAACTTAATTATTCTAATCAGAATAATTCAACTTAATTATTTCTGAAGGATAGCAAATATTTTTCTCGAAAATTTTTCCAGTGTCAATTTTGGTTTCCAAGCCTGATAAGATTGTCAGATACATTAAAAAAAAAAAAAAAAACAAAGAAATTTCAGAAAACAAGTCTACTAAGCTGCTCTGTGACTTTAAGTTTCACAATGTTTGTACTCAGAAATTTCAGAAAACAAGTCTACGAATCCAATTTTAAGTTTTTCACTTGTAGGGAAATCACACATTATATTTTAGTTCTTGCAATCACCAACTTCACTCCCTCATTTCATTTCATTTGATCATCAGAACTCATGAAGCAAAAATTTGCACCAAGTTCCTGCTAATACTTCAAAATTCACAAAAAAATTAAGCACTTCTACTTCTCCACCAAAACCGAGTCGACAAGCTTTCAGCTTAACACCTCAACTATGATAGAGAAAAAACAAAACAACATAAAAAGATGACAAGTACCTTGAAGCTAGATTAGTAATGTAGACAACAGATGGAGTGTTCTCCTGAAAAAGACGAACAGTAGCAAGCTCATCCGACTGCAACTTCCTCGGAGTAGTAACTACAAAAGCCGATGCGCAATCAACGTCTGCCACGAACAAACTCGCCGACAAGGCAACAGAAGCACAGAGCACGGACAACGAGTCCAACAGTTTCTTCCATCCATTGTTGTCCGATTCGAGCTCAGCACCAAAATCACTCCTAAAATATTTGTCTCGCAGAGCACAAACAATGATCGGGCCAATAACTTTGTTCTGATTATATTGGGGCAGAGATTTCGTAAGCGTACATCTAGGGATTGGATTGAGTATTTTGGAGTGAGAGACCTTGGGAGTGGAAAAAAGCAAGGTGGATCCAGCCATTTTTGCTGTGAAGTCGGAACACAGTATAGATTTTCTCCAATTGGTCAATTTTTGTTTTTCTGAATTATATTATTATTTGTGTTTTTAGTTTTTATGTATTATTTTTAATTTATGTGGTTGTGTTCCATTTCCTTGTATGTGTTTTGATAAAACTAGCTGATTAGTTAGCTTATAGCTTATCAGTAATTTTCGAGCTTATGGTTATGTTTGGTAAAACTAACGCTATGTTTGATAAAAACTAACTGATAAGCTAGCTGATAGCTCATAAGCTAGCTTATATCTTATCAGTAATTTTCGAGCTTGTAGCTTATCGGTAATTTTTGAGCTTATAGCTTATGACTTATAGGTGAAAAGCTAGCTTATATGATAAAAGTGTTTAGTAAAATTAGATGATAAGCTAGCTCGAATGAAAAATTCAACTAGCTTATTTGAAAAGCTACCTAAAGAAGCTTATCAAATAAGTTCGAGTTTTTTAAAAAAGCTTGTCCTACCAAACGAGACTTATTTGAATACAGGGAACTTATAAGCTAACCAAATAAGTTATAAGCTAGCTTATTTGCCTACCAAGAATAGCATAACTGATAAACTAGTTTATAGTTTATCGGTAATTTTTGAGCTTATGGCTATGATTTATAGCTGAAAAGCTAGTTTATATAATAAATGCGTTTAGTAAAATTAGCTGATAAGCTAGCTGAAATAAAAATTTCAACGGACATATTTAAAAAGGTACCCAAAGAAGCTTCTAAGATAAGCTCGAACTTTTTAAAAAAACTCGTTTTATCAAACGAAGCTTATTTAAATACAGAAAAGTTTATAAACTAACCAAATAATTTATAAGCTAGCTTATTGGCCTACCGTAGCCTATAGCTTATAACTTATGGCTTATAGTTGAAAAGCTAGACTATATGTGTTGATATCCTAATTGGCCCAACCAGAAATAACCGGTCCGGATGACGGAGCCGGTGCAGGTGCCGAATTGGTCAAAGACGAAAGTAGGTAGTAGCGATGTCCTGTATAATTGTCTAGATTGGCACTTACCGGACCGCGTCGGGGTGCCGACCCCTCAAAGTGTCGAGCCGGTTAATGAGTCCTGAAGACCTCAGGAAGGTTTGTTGTCCGGGTGTCGACCTGAGGGTCTGAAAGGGGACGATTCGGGAACCAGGGGCGGACATGGATATAATATAAAATTACCACTTGCTAGATAATGATTGCTGATAAGACGGGCCGGCCTAACCTACCACCCTAGAGGACTTAGCCTGGCAAAAGGAATTGACAGCATTTAATGTTGCCCGTGTGAGCATTAAATGCCTAGCTAGTAATGATTGGAGAAACTCAAATCGTATTTAATGATCTGCCAGAAAAGTGTCGACCAGGTCTGTAGAAGTACTGTGCGATAAGGCGGTGAACACTGCCGTAATAGTGGCATTGAATAGCATTATAAATAGCCTCTCACCTCATCAATTGAGAGGTTGTTGAACCCACAATTAGCAAGCTAGCAATATATTTTCTCTCTCTAAAAATTGTAATAAGTCTCATGTAAGAATTGTAAGTATATCACAAGTGTCGACCTTGTACGAGAGGCCGACCTAGTGATCGTTTAATAAAATTGTAATTAACCCGTATCCCCTCTTCATTTTCCATCTCGTACTCTCGATATTTGTTATTTTAACCGTTGATCTGATCCGCCCATCAACAGTTTGGCGCTAGAGGAAGGGCACCATAAGTTACTTGGTGTCAACATTTCGATCTTGTGGTTAACAGCCACATCGCACTTACTCAAAAATGACTTCATCTGGTCAAGACGAATCCACCCGCCAGTCCGGAGCCCAGTCCGACCGGCGTACCGGCGCGGGAAACTCCCGTCGTACTCAACAAGGAACCCAGGCCCCCATCCCGGCCGCCAATTCCGACCTTTGCTGCGGCCATGCAGCACCCTGACGTCCTCAAAGTCCTCAAATGAGCTTTTGCCACAGCCCTGGCCAACCACGCGGCCGGGCCAAACACCATGGCGGCAACGGAGAGCTCGGGTAACACACTACTCCAAACCCCCGGTAAAGAGGTTGGGGGGGAAAAAGAGGA